GGTGGGGCCTGACTAGTAACCAATGCCAAATCCGGCGAAACAACTGGCCGCTGTGATACAATTGTATAATAATAAGAAGAATAAGAATAAGAATGTCCAAGAATGTTCTAAAATACATCAAGAAATTGCAGCTTCCTGCAATAAACATCAGTGGAACTGCAAAAAACTGCACTAGTCAGAACATCAAACATCTTAAGAAAGTACTTGGTTGATACGTAGGATGCTGGCAGCAACCCGTATCAACCATTAGCACTACTCAATGGCATTTGTGATGCATTTTTGAATGTTCAGTTGACTTCAGTTTCATGTTTAATGAATAAAGTATATAATAATAATTTTATTGCTCTGGAACTCATTCTATAGGCCTTAAATAGCTCCTTTTAAGGGGGACTTGTGTAGCCTTAGTAAAAAAAAAAAGCTGCCTGAAAAAATACAGAAAAAAGAAGATGTACTTATATAGCTTCTATAAAGACTAGCAGTTATCATTTAGGGGTATACTAATAAATTCCCTTTAAAGAGGATTTGGAAATGTAAGGTAATGCAGGCCAAGTCATTGATGGAAGACAAAGTGTATGACCCAAATTAAACTTGTTATCATTAATATATTGTCAAAACCCTATTCAGCAAAGTTCATTGACCTATAACCATGAGACTGCGGTGCCTTTCTGATTGTAATATTTTAAAAGAGAGATATTCATTCTATGAATACTACCAGCTTGTATGCATTGTACTATCCATCATAAATATTGTTTTTTTTCCCCCAATCATTTATCTTGAGAGGTTTTTACACCCCATATGATAGCTTTGAAAATTTTTTCGCTAGATAAATAAAATAAGTATACTTTACTTGCAGCCTCCAGGTGATGGACAAGTAAAGGATAAAAAGATCAAACACGGTGAATGGATTAGGATCAAGGCAAAGAGAGTCTATGTTGAAGGTTGACAACACAAGGATACAATCAAAGTAGGCAGAAGAACAGAAAAAAGATGATCTGTCAGGAGCTCCAGCCTGATGTCAGATATGTACTTATGCAACCCATGAAGCTCTGACAAGCAATCTTCTACCATCAACTTCAATAGAAGAACAGAAACTATGCAGAAATCTCTTTAGGGGAGCTCAAAATGCCTGCTTGGACATGCTTGGAACATCTTGGTGAGGAAGATGGCATCTGGATGCAAATTTTTCCCTGAAGTTTTTGTTGGTTTTAAATGAAGTGCAGCTGCTATTTATGAAAGAGTGAAAAGTCTCAAAACTTGACATTTTACTGGCTTTCTGTCTCATTTCTGAAATGTCGTGAAAGATAAAGCATAAGTCATATATGTTCAACATTCCTTGGTTCAGTGCAATATTGCCATTTTTCTTCCAGGTTTTTTTTAAAGGCAGCAATATACTCCCAAAAAGTGCTTTCCCAAAAGATAACTGGACTTTCTTAATTTGTTTTTCCTTTTTTGTTGTTTGTTTTATTTAAAAGCCATAAGTATTTCCATAAACAGTGGTGGGATCCTACCAGTTTAACAACCGGTTCTGTAATCGCTCGCTTTGCTCGCGCATGTACCTGATAAGCACTGTGTGCGCATTCACAATTTGGAGGAAATTTACCCTCCATATTACTGGTGGGAAGGAAAACAGCTGAGGCATGGCAAACCGCTCTGCCATGTGACTCAGCTCATTCATTTCATTTCATTTCATTTATTAAGTTTGTATGCCGCCCTATTCCCGAGAGACTCAGGGCGGCTGACAAAGATATAAGTAAGTAAAACGCTGGGGTGGGCGGGGGGGCACTTGATCGTCAGAGCAAACTGGTTCTCTCCCAGCTGATTGTCGGAGCTACCGGTTTGCCTGAACCAGTCCAAACTGGCAGAATCCCACCCCTGTCCATAGACATGTAACAATATTCTCTCTCTGTGTGCATATCTATCTATATCTGTTCGTCTGTCCGTCCGTCCGTCCATCCATCATCCATCCATCCATCTATCTATCTATTTATCTAACTCAATCAAACAATCTCTATCTATCTATCTATCTATCTATCTATCTATCTATCTATCTATCTATCTATCTATCTATCTATCTATCTATNTCAACCCTGAGCCGGTGAGATTTGAACCGCTGAACTGCTGATCTAGCAGTAGCCTGCAGTGCTGCATTTAACCACTGTGCCACCTTGGCTCATATGGCAGAAGCTACCATTCTACCATGGCAGAAGCAGTCATCAAGGCACTACCGAGACTTTTCTCCACTCATGGCCTGCCCAATGTTTCGGTCTCTGACAATGGGCACCAATTTACGTCCATGCAATTCGAGACCTATTTAGCAGCACAGGGAATCAGACATGTCCTGGTCGCGCCATTCCATCCGGCTTCCAATAGTCAGGCAGAGAGAATGGTGAGATCTGCAAAAAAAGCCCTATCCAGGATGGGCCCGGGAGATTGGCAAACACAGGTTGATCAATTCCTCCTCATACAACACATCACGCCAAGTGCTACCACTGATAGAAGCCCTTCCGAGATTCTAATGGGTCGCCAGCTAAGGTCCCACTTAGACCGGCTACACCAAACTACTCTGCTGTATCGCCCCCAGATTCGACCGGCAAAATAAGAAACTTTAGTGTAGGGGATCGTTTATGCCCACAACTACGCTAGGGGAACTCTTTGGATTCCTGCCACAGTAATAGGCATCACAGGGCCTCGCTCTGACCTATTAGAGCTCGAGGACAGTCAAAATTGGAGACGGCACATTGACTAATTCCATGGCCGCATCTCCAACTCCAGTCTTAGGCAACCAGAGGTAACACCTGCACGAGTTAGCCAAAGCCCTACACAAAAGGAGCACGAATTCACTCCTTCCACAGACAACTCAATCCCAAAGGTACTGGGGCACTTGTCTGTAAGTGTTGTATGCCCGCAGCAAGTTCCGAGCGAACTGCTCCAGAAACTCCAGCCGCGGCCTATGAGAAGTTCCAGGAGCTTCCACCAGGCGAAGCCGTAGAGACAACAGGTCCATCTGACCTGACTGAAGAACACCCACCAACTGAACTGCGCAGGTCTGGGCGAGCCACCAGAAAGCCCACCTACCTGCGTGACTACATCACAAGTCGGTTGAGCCCATCTAAGAGGGGAGGGGTGTTAGATACCAGAAACACTGCTAATGGTTTACACCAAGGTTCTCTGTTCTGGCGAGAACAGAGATTCAGTCTGATTGGTCAAAGGGTCTGACAGCTCCCTATAAAAGGGCTGTTGTTAGACTGTATGTATGTTGTATGTATGTTTATTATACTTGTATGCCGCCCTATTCCCAAGGGACTCAGGGCGGCTAACAAACAAGTGGGGAAGGGNGTTACCCTGTTGAACCTCTGCCTGACCCTTACTGCCACCAGCCCCTCCTGTTGAATATCAACCTGACACTAATGACCAGACCCCTTCCTGTTGACTCCTCACTACCACTGCCAGCCCCTCCTGTTGGACATTAACCTGTCACCAATGACCAGATGCTTCCCCGTTGAATCTCTGCCTGACACACACCCCACAGCCACTCACAGCCACTCCTGTTGGACATCAACCTGTCACTGATGATAGAAGTCACCCTGTTGAACCTCTGCCTGGTCCCACTGCCAGTCTCAGCCCCTCCTGTTGAATATCAACCTGACACTAATGACCAGACAGACCCCTTCCTGTTGACTCCTCACTACCACTGCCAGCCCCTCCTGTTGGATATTAACCTGACACCAATGACCAGGTGTTTCCCTGTTGAATCTCTGCCTGACACCCCCCCCCACTGCCACTCACAGCCCCTCCTGTTGGACATCAACCTGACAGTAATGACCAGACCCCCCCATCCCCTCCTGTTGGACCCCTGCCTGCACAACCCCACACCCTCATCCCCGCCGGCTCTCACCCGGAGGTGCGGGCCCGGGGCGTCCAGTGCGGCCAGCGCCTCCAGCAGATCCCGGCGCAGCTCCACCAGGAAGCGCAGGCCGCCCTCCTGCCGCGCCAGGTGCTGGAAGAGGCCCCGGTAGCGCGGGGTCAAGGCGTGGCGCAGCCGGTCCTCGGCCTGCAGCAGCGGGCCCGGCTCGCCCTCCTGCAGCCGCAGCACCCGCGCCATGGCCTCGGCCACCCGCCCGCGCTCCACGCCGAAGCCCCCCGCCAGGCGCCTCAGCAGCTCCGCCCGGGACCCTTCGCCGCCGCCCAGAGACCGGTAGAAGCGCATGAACTCGGCGCTCCGCTGCTCCAGCGCCGCCCCGGCCGGCGCCGCCGCCTTCTCCCGGGTCTCGTAAGGCGGGAGCGGCGGGACGGCCCGGCAGAGCGCTTCGTCCAGGAAAGCGGAGGCTTTGGTTGCCATGGCGACGGCGCTAGGCCGCGGCCGGCCGGAAGGAGAGGGGGCGCGCGCGAGGAGGCGGAAGAGCTGCCGCGGGGTCGCCTGGTAGCGGCTCCAGGGGCGCATGCTACCCTCCCCGCTACTCCCCGGCGCTGCCCTCCGAATCTGCTCCCCGGGCGAAGCGGGAGGCAGAAATACGGGCAGGAGGAGCGGCGGGATGGGTGTGTGTGTGTGTGTGTGTGTGTGT